TCGAAGGGATCAGGTATAAGGCATCATCAGAACAAAAAATCTTACCATAGTGAATGATGTGGGGAGTGCGGAGTGGAGATCCAAAGCCCATTAGTAGGCCACTGGAGATCCCCTTGCAGAGGGGTCTCGGGGAGGAGATGAGCCAGTCAGGGTGCGATGTAACAACGATGAGAAATACAACTTTCCTCTAGTTCCTAAATGTTTCCTCCCCGCTCCCACTACCATGACTCGAATTCGACCTTGCAAGTCTGGCTAGACCAGAGGATGTACACTGGTACAGATAGGAACTGAAAATACAGGGAATCCAGGGAGTATGAGCCCTACAGGACCAGTGGTGTGAGTGGCGAAACAGGGAGGGTAAAGGGAGAGTGGGTAGGAAAGAGAGAACCGATTACAAGAAACTATATGTGACCTCCTCCCTGGGGGAGATAACCGAAAAGTGGGTGAAGGGAGACATCGGACAGGGCAAGATATGACAAAATACCCATTTATAAACTATCAAGGGCTCATGAGGGAGGGGGAGCGGGGAGGGAGGGGAAAAATGAGGACCTAATATCAGGGGTTTAAGTGGAGAGAAAATGTTTTGAGAATGATGTACAAATGCGTTTTACACAATTGATGTGTGTATGGATTGGGATAACAGTTGTATGAGCCCCTAATAAAATGTTAAAAAAAACAAAACAAAAAAACTCGGCTTATACATGAATACATACAGTCATTAAGTTTCTTTCTTCATTCCTGCCGTATACATTACATTATTCTCAGTGATCATCTTTGCTGCACTGCACCCGTTATAGCACGTAGTGATGTAATTATCATTCAATCTTAAAGATTTTACCATTTCTCTCTTACAGCATGATTTACTTTGACGTTATTATTACTATATCATTTCTAACCAAGTAGGTTTGATTATTTTCTTTTAATATTTTCATTATTAATTAGTGATTTTATTACACTTTGGTTAGATAATATAGTCTATATGACATCAACTCTGGCATTTTTCTGCAACTCTCTTTGTAACTCGGTACATGTAGAATTTTTGGAAGTGTCCACATGGACTTGAAAAAGTTGTTATTCTCTAATTATATATGTCTGATTAAGCTTATAAAATTTCAATTTTCTAAACACATTTTAAAAATAACATGTAAGTAACCACACAGGGTTCTAAAAATACCACCAAAACTCTCAGATTCAAATACACTTAAAGAATACCAACTAATACTAGAGATGAAAGGCAAACTATGTAACGTGCGCGCACGCACTCACACACACACATTCAATCTTATTCCATGAAACAGCATACAGATTGCTAGTCATAACATTCTTCTCAAGAACTAGACAACAATCTCTTATCTTTCATGATAAAGTTAGGAAAGGGTTCGGATGAAACTTGACGTCAACACTCAGAAAATTATTGGGGTGGAACTTTGACGGAACCCTGCACCAGTGAACCTTGCCGGCACTCCAGTAATAGGACAGTGCATTCTGGCTCTTCTGGGTCTCTCCTATGTTAGAGTCCACTTGTTTTCTATTCAGCCATGCCTTTTGAGAGTGTATGTAATTCAAGTATCTCTTGATTCACCGACAAAATCCAATAGTTCTTTTGCTTATATCAAGTCTTTTCATATATTCCCCAGATCTAGTATCCTTACTTTCTATAGCATAGATATGTATTACATTGCTTCTATGATTAACTTTTTTCTAAAATGCTTCCAGATGAGAGTCCCCTTGTTGTTCACTTACCTTTTCTTGGTTACAGCAAAAATATTTTTCCTAATTGAGCTTTACATTTAGTTGCCTGACTATGTAATTTTAGTCTCAATGCCACACTTTGTGTTTTGCTCAGTATATGCTCACCACTATATGCTTCTTAATTTACGCGTTGGGTTGTGATCTACAAGATAGGTAGCTTGAAATCATATGCCTCTCCAGGCCTTTACTCCCGTAAACAGCTACAGTCTTGGAAACTCACAAAGGCAGTTCTACCTTGCTCTATAGGTTGCTCTACATATTGCTCAATGGCAGCGATTTTTGTTGTTGTTTTTGGTGATGTACATAGTGGTTATGTGTTGGGCTGGTAACCATAATGTCAGCAGTTCGAAATGAACAGCCAATCTATGCAAAAAGGATGGGGCTTTCTACTCCTGTAAAGAGTTACAATCCCAGAAACTCACAGGATCAGTTCTACCTTGACCTCTTGGGGTGCTAAGAGCCAGTATCGACTTGATGGCAGGGAGTTTGGTTATTGTTTTATATGCTTTTTGCAACAGTTCTATCAATCACTCAGAAGTTCAGTATGTTTCTTTTCTGTGTATATTTTTAAACTACCTTAAATTTTCATAGAATCTACTCAATGGGAGCTATCAATATCAATTACTATCTCGTTTTGTTTTGATCAGACATCAGATTCATTTACCATCTCCCAGACAGAATTAAGGTAATATCATTTGGACACTCTTCTTATACTAGTCATTTGTCAAGGTTCTTACCTTTGTGGCTTATAACTCATTGTTTCCATATACTGATATGGTCTGAATATGACCAAATTTTACAGATAACTTTGACACCTTAAGTTACAAGTTATTTTGAACAAACAAAGGGAAAATAATAATCAATAGTGCATTGAAATTCAGGATATAGCAAAATAGAAAGGTCTGTAACTAGATATCCAATTAATTTAGATTCAAACAAACATCTTAATGTGTTTCATCCAAAGACATGAAAAATAAAGGAGCACAACATTTTCAGCACAAAGAGTTTTTCATTACAAGTTAATAAACTCTTCTCAATAAAGTGTGACCTGAACTAAATGGATAGTTGTTGAAGCTGCTAACAGGGCAACTTTAAAAAAAAAATCACGTTATTGGGGCTCATACAACTCTTATCACTATCCATCCATCCATCCATTGTGTCAAGCACATTTGTACATATGTTGCCATCATCATTTTCAGAACATTTTCTTTCTACTTGAGCCCTTGGTATCAGCTCATTCTGCCCCCACCATCAAGAATCCTGATAATTTATAAATTATTATTTTTTTCATGTGTTATACCAACCACTGTTTCCCTTTATCCACTTTTCTGTTATTCGTACCCCTGGGAGGGGGTAATATATCAATCATTGTGATTGGTTCTCCCTTTCTCCCATTACCTGCCCCTTCCCCTCCTATAATCGCAATTCTCATTACTGGTCCTGAGGGTTTATTTGCCCTGGTTTCCCTTTGTTGTGAGCTCTTATCTGTACCAGTGTACAGCCTCTGGTCCAGCAAGATTTGTAAGGCAGAATTGGGGTCATGATAGTGAGGGGGAGGAAGCATTAATGAACCAGAGGAAAGCTGTGTTATACTGCACCCTGATTGGCTCATTGTTCCTTGTGACCTGAACTTCTGTAAGGGGATGTCCATTTGCCTACAGATGGGATTTGGGTCTCCACTCCGCCCTCCCCCTCATTCACATTGATATGATTTTTTATTCTGGGTCTTTGATGCTTGATAACTGATCCCATCAACACCTCATGATCACACAGGCTGGTGTGCTTTTTCCATGTGGGCTTTGTTACAGGGCAATTTTTTAACTTAACACATTTGTAACAGTGAAATTACCCATAAAACAAATTATTTAATGCTGCATGCCCATAATCTAGACCTACTACTTAGCAGACCATCATTAAACAGCTTGTGAATTATGGAAAGAAATAAATACAAAGCAGTTGTAGTGATTATTCTCATTGTCATTGAATTAAAGAACAAAATTCACTAGTTTGTACTTCATAAGTTTTCTATTATTGGTAAAACAATTAGATGCATATATTTCTAGCCTAAGATCACTCATGAATACATTAATAAAGATATATTACTTGATCATGGATCTTGTTGTTTATTACTGATGTTTGCCATCCAATCAATTCTAACTCACAGAGTCACTACAGCAGAGCAAAACCACTGAATTATATATGTCAATAAAACCATTAACGAAAGAAAGAAAGAAAGGAAGGAAGGATAGAACAGACTTTCCCAGGAGGTTTCCAAGACCGTCGCCTTTACGGCACAGGCAGCCACATCTTTTGCTTGTGCAGTGGCTAGGGGTTTCCAACGACCTTCAAAGCAGCAGTCAAGCATGTAACTTCTTTTTTTACTTATTGGTCTCCAAATCAAATATAAATTTAATAAACATTCACAGTGCACTCTAAGCAGCATTATCACTAAGCTATATAAAACTTGTGATTTATAATTTAACAAAATGAGAAAACAATAATAACATATAATTTATCAAGAGTTCACAAGTGGGGAGGGGAGGGAGGGAAAAAAAGAGAAGCTGATGCCAAGGGCCCAAGTAGACAGAAAGTTTTGACAATGATGATAGCAACAAATGTACAAATGTCCTTGACACAATGTATGTATGGATGGATTGTGGTAAGAGTTGTACGAGCCCCAGTAAATGATTGGGAAAAAAAAGATGATGATGGCAACATAGGTACAAATGTGCTTCATACAACTGATGTATGGATTATTATAAGAGTTGTAAAAATCCTCAATAAAGTGATTTATTTTTTTAAAAATTAACAAAGTGAGATAGCCAAACTAAATGAAATAAAATGAAAATATCATCAAGGAGGAGACTAGGGGGTAAAAAGCCTTATACATTGCGTTTTCTTGAACTCAGATCTAGATGAGCATAGGGATAATTCATGTATACAGAGGAGAGAAAATACATATGTAAAACAAAAAAATGGGTTATTTGAAGAAAAACAGCATCATATAACATTAGTTAAAAGATAAATGTGTTCTCAAAAATAATTTTTTAAAAATCAACTAAAAGGCTTACAGTATTTTATTTAAATTCCCTTGGTTTAAGGAAAACAAAACAAAAGCAAACAGATTTTTATACTGTGTTTTAATTTTCATACTTATCTAAAAAAAAAGGCATATTTTTCTGCTAGGTTTTGAGGATTCCCCATGATGTTGGTAAGATTAAAGGGTGTCTTAGAAAATCATCACTTACCAATTCAACTAAGGATCTTGCTTCCTCTTCAGTGCAACGGAAAGGGCTATCACATACCTGCGCGTTAGTGCTGAAGAGAAGATAATGTTATTATGAAGCAGGATAAAACAGGAGTCATTGCTCAAATGTACTACCAACTCCAAATACTCTTGTGCACCGACTGAACAAATCCAGCTAATAAAGAAGGAACTGAGAGAATAGAACGAGGACAGTCTTCAGGCACGATGACAAAGGCACAGCGCCGCACAGAATTTCATGCTTCAGCATTAAATGCAATTTTTAAAATTTCATCACACAGCATCTTAGTCATCACCACCCAAACCAAACCCTGTCAGTACAGTTGCCCCATAAGACAGAATGATGGTCACATTTCCCACTAATACTTACTGGTGTGTGGTAATGTATACAATGAACTGTTATCACAATTATGCTTCATCTTTATTGGAGAAGAAAGGAGCCAAGTGTAACCTACCGAATGATGACTATATGGAGGAATTTTCTGGCAAAATGAAGTGAAAGACATTGCAGTTGGCCACTGAAAACCATTGCAGAACCACTTTCTCAGACAAGTATGGGAGATTAGAGCTCAAAGTGGTAAGAAACTATGCAAATAAAAACGGCGTGTTTTCTTCAAAGTAGGGAAATTCCACAAGTATAAGAATAGCAGTTCCTTTCCTGATTAGTAAAGGCTCTATAAACTCAAATGCCTTTCTTGCATCTCTATAAGCATGCTACTACCCATTACATATTTCCTACTTTCTAGATGAAAGCAAAGGTGTTATTCTTTTCAACCACAGAAAATTGATTTAAAGAAACCAGTAGATTAAGATGAATATAGAATATAGTAAAAAGTAAGACAATATAAAAATCAGAACCGTAAGGTTTTAAAAATATCAAGAACATTTTTTAACATCTCCAATACATTCTTGACAAGTAATTTGTGGAGACCAAGAATAGCTAACTGGTTTTGTTATTTTTCACTCTAGCTATCTCAAGAATGAAGAATGCACAAGATGGGCTGGCAGAGCTGCAACAAGGGGCTCAAGCATCTGAACAATTGTGAAGATGGTCCAGGACAGGGCAGTGTTTCATGCTGTTGTACACAGGGGCCCTGGGAGTCAGAACTGACTTGATGGCACCTAACAACAACAAGAAAAAGAAAGGGCTGGGACGACATCCACAAGGTCTTGTCCAAAAGTAGTGCTCCGGGTTCTGGT